TGTGTGTGTGTGTGTGTGTGTGTGTGTGTGTGTGTGTGTGTGTGTAAGATTGTGCACACCACAGCATGCACATGAAGATAGAAGACAGTTTTGTGGAGTTGGTTTTCTCCTTCCACCTTGTTATGGGTCCTGGCATGGAGCTCGGATCATCAGGTATGGAAGCACTGTTACCCAATCAGCATCTCACTGGCCCATGTTCTTTATTTTACTAGAGAGAAATAGCAATGATGAGACTTTTTTCTTACTCTTTTTTCTCCTGCTCCCCTGCTCTCCTTCTTTCTCTTCTTCCTTTACCTCCTGGTTTTAAATCCTCCTCTCTGCAATTAACCTCTTCCCATTCCTTTATCCTTCGGATGCTCTTGACATGTCTGGAAGTCTTATTTCCCTCAAGACCTTGAGTGGCACCTCACCAAATACAGTTCCCGGCCAATCTTAAGGACCCTTGCAACCTGTACTTACTGTTCTCCAGACTACCCCAGGGCTGCTCGACCTTGGTGCTGTGTTAAACTGACATGAATAGACACTACACATGGTCTTAACCAAACTCCTAGAAAAGATTAGCCTTGGCTCTGTGGCATTTGGACTAGATGGTTCTTTGAAGTGCAGACATGCATTTTAAGATGTTTGGCTGATGCCTGAATGCTACTCACCAGATCTGTGTAAAGCATTCTAGACATTACTTAATGTCCTACTCGAAGTAAGGGAAGTTCTCTCTTATAACTGAGAACTGTGGAAATCTATGCCAATTTTTAGCTTTATTATTTGGAAGTGTTGAATTCAGTGACCTTGTGGGCTGCCACAAGAATAAGTAAGGCTTTTGGACACACTGTTTGAATTAATATTTTAGAATCTCCAGTGAACTAGCCCTCTGATAATCTCTTCTAATCTTATCCCAGGATATAAACTTATCCAGAGTTATATATTTATAATGTACTAATCTGTAAAAATCAAATCCAAGTTTAATTCTGATATCTCTGGGTCTGTGCATCTATCTTGCATCCAGTGTGTGTCATCAGAAAATCTGGACTATCTCCCTCAAGGATTATAAGGAAGAGATGCATGTGTACAGATTTGTGTACCTCAAAACTGTGTACCTCAAAACTCCAGCAAGGTAATTCTTGTATTCATCTGTTTCTGCCCTATTGGAAGAAAATTTAAAAACATGTCATCATTTGTTTTGTGTCAGACAATCAGCTGGACACATGGGTAGGAGTCTCCCATTTCCAACTCTTCCCATGTGGGGGTAAGGTTGAACAGCACATCCATCCATAGGTGTAATGATACCTATTTCTATTGTACTTTAAACTGGGTACCTCCTCCTGTTGACTCAGATTCACTAACCTGGACTTCAAAGGTGCTATTCCTGCCCTGTGTTTTCAGCTGTGTCTTCCAGTCTTCATACACATGAATTTCATCTCAAGACAGGTTAAACTCCTTACAAGCCCTCCCTTTCCTCTTTCATTTCCACATTGGCCAAGGTTGTGAGCTCCATCTTGAATTCCCTATTTCTTCTCTGACTTTGGATCCTTTCTGCCCTATGCCCTCTAAGGAGCCTTTCCTGAAAGTTTCGGTGTTTGTTGACATGGGCCTTTCTGAATCCCTGCCTACTTACACTTTGTCCCATGTTTCATGGCTCATTTGTCATCTTTCTTACACAGTTTCACAGATGAACTTCTTGAGCACCAGGTCTTTGTCCTTCACTGGGCCCTGAAGAATTCTGACTAGAAAGGCAAATTCATTGTAGGTAACTTGTACTAGAACATCCTCTGGAGTTGTTTGCCCAAAGACTACAAACAAGACTTCCCAGTGCTCCACAGTCAGGTCAGAGTGGATGGACAGAAATAGTGCCACCATACTGGTGAGAAGCCCTATGGGTGCAAAGAGTGTCAAAAGTCTTATTGTGCACCAAAGAATCCATACAACAGATAAATTTTACTCAGTGAAAGTGGAAAGGCCTCCAATATGCTCTCCTGCCTTACTGTCCACAGAGACTTCAGAGTAGAGAACTCCGTTGTGTGCATAGGGATGGTGGGAAGCCTTCACTTGTAGCTCATACATACTCATTCATATAAAATTCATAGTGTGTAACAAGTATGGCAAACTTCACCATACACCAGTGAATCCGTACTGGAGAAAAGCCCTATGAATGTGCAAAGTATCGTGGAGCCCTCATCTCTAGCTCATACCTCATGCAACACCACACAATTTTCCTTGTCAAAGATGGAGGGAGGGGAAGCTCTCTGGTCATAGTCGATGCCAACTTCCCCCCACTCCATAGGGGATACCCTTCTGTTCTACTTATTCCTCCTTTGGTAAACAAGGCCTATACCTTTTAAAGTTAGTTTTCTGGAAGACAATGTAAACATGAGCATTTCAGAGACTCAAAGAAAAAGAAAACTAAGTACCTAAACAGCAAAAAAAAAATGATTGGATGGAAAAATGTACAATATTAATTGGAACCTTGTAGCAAGGACAGGAGGGTCTGAGAGAGAGTGGGTCTGATGCTAACTCCAGAGGGTTCATGCTAACTCTCAAGGGGCCTCGGGGGCCTTGAGGTGTGCCTAGCCAAACCTATAACTACATATCCACTCCTGTTTGAGATCTCTGGAATACAGAATCCTCACAGAGAATAAGCAAACCCCCAGAAGCAACTGCTGCAGCACATTGGCTTTTCTGGAGCTGCAAGAATGATACCTACTTGTTCATTGACTCTCTTGCAGAAAATACCAAGCATGAAGACGGCCCCAATGGGTGGCCCCAAGTAGCTGGTGATAGACTGGATATAATCAAAGAGCTGTCCACTTTGAGCAGACTGCACGATTGGCACCCAGGCAATGCTGACGCCAATCAGCACAAGGATGAACAACCTGAAATCAAAGCCCCACAATAGCATATCAGTGTTCTACACAAATAAATATATACTAATAATATATAAACACATATGCACATACCTATGTGTAGATGTCACCAGCAAATATATGTGCACATGCGTATTATACAAATATTACATATCTCATAGTGCCACAGTGAAGCAAAATTGAGCAAATCCATTCTGGAGGCTTTCTTCCTTATTCTGCCTACCCAAAAGTCATCTGTGTCTATGAATAGCTGTAACATATTTGGCTTTCAACCGACAGCTAGGCCCAGTGATCTAATGCACAAAAATCCCACTTTAAGAAGAGTAAAGTGTAGGTGCAGGTTACAGGCTCAGGAGCAAGGTAATCATGGGTTCAAGTTCTCATTGCTCTGCACAATATAAAACATGCTACTTAATCTCTCTCCAGCTGAAAACTGAGAACAACATCTCCCAAATAGGAGATTTAAATTTACATTTTTTAAAAAATTAAATTTAAAAATAAAATTGTTTTCTCCCCTTTTCTTGCTCTCTTTTTCTTTCTTTTTCCCTTTCTTTCTTTCTTTTGGTTTTTTGAGACAGGGTTTCTCTGTATAGCCCTGGCTTACCTATAACTTGCTCTGTAGAATAGGCTGCTCTCAAACTCTCAGAGGTCTACCTGCCTCTGACTCCCAAGTACTTGGATCAAAGGTGGGCGTCACCAAACTTGGCTCTAAAATTATTTTTTAATTAAATAAAAACTTTAAAACATTATTTTCTTTTCCTTCTTTCTTATAAAGTCTTAACAAAGTTTAACATGTTAGCCAAGAAGAGAGCCTAAAGGAGCAGTCTAGTCAGGAAGTGACCGGGTCTTTCCAGCTCTCTTCTTGAATTTTACTTTTTGTTGTAAAACTGTGGGAGATTCTGCTACATGCTCTTATTTTTTGTGCACTTGGTTTAATTTTAAAGAAGACTAGAGTTTCCTTACCCCATGTGTACTTAAAGCAAATGAGTAGTGTTTTCACATAGGCCTTCCCACACCACCCACAATTTACCCAAATCCTACCTGTCATTGTTGACTCTGTGATCTCCCTCCACAAAACCTTCCCCCACTACACTAAGACATGCCCATCTCTCTCTTTCTGGGTCCTGGATTGCTCTTACAAACCTTGAGATTGCTTCATGCTACTGTGAGCTTGTTCAGTGCTAAGGCAAACCCAAAGCCAGTAGTTACGGAATGTACAAAAAATGTGAGATTCAATACAATCATAGGACCAGGAGATCTAGAACTGTACAAGCCAACAATCTGGTTTTCCTTCCAGTAGGTACCCTCTAAGAAAAAAAACAAGTGAGGTCTCAGTGCTGCTCAGCAGAATGCAAAGTAGTAGATGGTCAGACACCCTTTTGTGGGGGTGGGTATCCTTATTTTCTCAAAAAACAAGGGGTGGGGATGCCGCTCAGTGGTAGAGCATTTGCCTAGTCCATGAAAAGTACCAAGTTCAATCCCAGCACCATTTAATAAAATATATGTGTGCATAGCTGGTGCTTATACTTCACGGAGTATACCGGGAGCCCTGAGGAAGAACTTAGTCATCCTCAGTCCTGGCTCTGCTCAGTCCAGGCCTAGTTAAGACTTCATTCTAGCAATGCTCATTGGTAGCCTAAGATAAAAAAGTTGGTTTCTTATGTTTCTTCGAGCTCCAGTGGGACACGGCTCAATTGTTTTCAATGTAAAATTAAATGCCAGGGCTGGAATCTAGCTCTGTGGTACAGTACTTGCCCAGAATGTACAAAGCCCTGATTCAATCCCCCAGCACCACAAAAAAGTGCCAGTGAATGGTAAATATAACTGGCCACAGAGATAACTCTGATTATACCAAGTACCTGCCAATCTTGCCTAAGTGAACTATTGTGGGTAGAACTTTTTGTGATCTCTTAGCTCCCCTGATACATGGCAGAGGGGAGAAAGCTGCACTTACCTTCCTGCAATCATGAGCTCCCTCTCAGATGCTCTCTTCCGGATCTTGGTGTAGATGTCCATGGTAAAGAGCGTGCTGGCACTATTGAAGATGGAGGTCAAAGAGCTCATGAGTGAAGCCATCATCACTGACAACATCAGGCCTCGAAGTCCTGGAAGAGAACGAGGTTTTGAGTAACACATCGGTCACCCTGATCTATTTCTTGTGCAGCAGTACCCGAGGTTTGTTTGCCTTTAGAAGCCATGCCTGTGTCCTCAAATTTCTCTCCAGAAAGAATAGAGGTTGTAAGAAATGGACTGTAGCTTTACATTCTAAGACTACAACAGACAAAGATTTAGAAACAAGACAAACATTAGACTTTTCAACTTGGTTGTGGTGGTGGTGGTGGTGGTGGTGAGTGTAGTGGTCATGACAGTGGCAAGTGTTTCCAACCAAGAGCACTTTCATACGGACATTCTCCAAAAACATCCATGAAACAGCAGAAGGATGTCTAAACTAGATTGAAAAGAGAATAAAAAGACATCCATGAATGGGAGCCTAGAGAAATGTGAAAATCACATCTGGCAAAGCTATAGCATAAGAATGTGATGGCTACTCTTGGTTGTCAGCTTGACTACACCTGGAATTAACTAAAACCCAAACTTCTAGGTACACCTGTGAGGGATTTTTCTTAATTAAATCATTTGAAGTAGAAAGACCCACCTTTAATCCAGATCTTTTGAGGTGGGAAGATCCACCTTTAATCTGAGCCATACCTTCTGGTGGCAGCCTACATAAAGGACTTAGAAGAGGGAGTCTCTTGCTATTTGCCTGCTTGCTATCATTCTCCCTGGCAAGTCTGTTCCTTCGCTGGAATTGGAGCTTTCCTCTTAGGGATTCCAGCATATACTGAAGACGGTTGAGACACCCAACCTCACGGATGGAACAACTACTAGATCCTGGGAATTTCTGTTGGAAGTCAGTGATTGTTGGATTAGTTGGACATCAACCTGTAAGCTACATTAATAAATCACCTGATGAAGCAGAACTGTGACACAGACTGCCTGGCCTGCAGCAAGACCTGTTGTTTTGTTGTTTCAGTTTTGGGATTTTTGTTTGTTTGTTTGGTTTTAGTTTTTTGAGACAGGGTTTCTCTATAGCTTTGGAGCCTGTCCTGGAACTCACTCTATAGACCAGTCTGGCCTCAAACGCATAGGGATCAGCCTGTCTCTGCCTCCTGAGTGCTGGGATTAAAAAGGTGTGGGTCACCACCATCCAGCTAAGCCTGTTTAAACTCTGTCAACATGGGCTTTGCTGACATCGACATTGACAACTCGAGCAGCATAGGGACAAGCAACTTAATCTCCTTTCATTGTTCTATTCTTATCAAACCTTCATTTGCTTATCTACTCAACAAATGCTTGATAAATATAATTGTATGGCAGCCTAGTGTCGTCCCCCCCCAAATCATGGTATAGCAGAGTAAATAAGGCCAGAAAGGTGAAAGTAGACAGGAAGAAAAGTGGATGATAATTAGGAGACAAAAGTGGGCAGAACTGGTGTGGATTAGTGGGGACACTAGATGGCTGAGAAGCTGAATCTGCAAGTGAAACCAGAAAGAGGCAGCCTAAGAAGATGGGAAAAGACAACATCATGAACCCAAAAAGAAAGATTCGAGAAAGACAACTGATCAATGACATTAAATGCAATTGAGAGATGTAAGTTGAGGGGCAGGAACTGTCTGTGTGGTCTAACACAGGGGACTCAGTAGCCAGGCGACAGCCGGAGGTCAGAAGCATTGAGTGCAAACACAGTGTTTTGCACACATCTTTTTGTTCACTGTTCCACTCTAGCACCATGTGTTAGGGTCTCATAAGAACAGAGGGGTACAGGGCCAATTTGGAGAAATAACACCTTTGTTCCTGCATAGACCAGTGTGACTGTTGCTCATCGGGAACCTTAATTAATAAGCAGCCAGGTTTGGGGGAGCAGTTAAACATTACTCCCACTCTTAGATGATTAGACTACAAATGCTCTGCCCGAGGTTGTGCATAAAGCTTGTGGAGAGAAATTTAAACAGAAATCTTGCCATGTTGGTGTGCACCAGGAATCTGGGCAGTAGGGAAGCTCAGGCAAGAAGACTAACATCAATTCAATTCAAGGCCAGCCTGGGCTACATAACAAGACTCTGCCTCAAGAGAAAATATGAATACATACATACATACATACATACATACATACATACAGGAAGGAAGGTTGAGAAGGTGGCTCAGTGGGTAAGGTATTTGCTGCATAAGCATGAGGACCTAGTTCAGATTCCCAGCATCTACATAAGGCCAGGAACTGTGGCATGTATCTCTAACTCCAGTGCTGATAGGGAAGGTGCAGATACTAGGGCTCCCTAGTCAGCCAGTCTCACCAAAACTGAGAGCTCCAAGCTCAGTGAAAGATTGAGTCTGTAAAAAAATGGCTCAAGGCTCATGAGACATCTCAGGAGACAGGGTAGGAAGATTATAGGTCCCAGAGGACGAGGAAATCTGCTGTGAGACTGTGACTCCTAGAAATGACAGGGAAGTTTCGTGCATACCTTGACAATATGGCTGCTTAACAAGGACAACACCAATAGACGTGCTAACAGGGAAGGGGCCCCAGCCATAGGCAAAGGACAACAGGCAGCTAAGGGGCATTAAGAGCAGGAGAAGTAGTTTTGACCTTGGGATGAGCTCCTAGTTATCCAAGTCATCGGTTCTGAAATCATCACAGACAACACTAAATAGACTCAGCTGTGTGTGTGTGTGTGAAATTCAAGAGGAGGACTTCGAGGGAGTGAAAGGCGAGCACATGGGAAGAGTTGGGGGAAGGGAATGGATGGGGGAGATGATGTAATTATTTTTTAATGATAATAAAAATAAATGTAACAGGAAAAGAATTATTATTACTAAAAATGAGTGAAGGTGCAGGCTATTGCCATTGTTGTCAGTTAAAATGTTCTCTACAAATATGTACGTTTCCCCTTCACATATGTAACATTTCTATCACAATATGAATGTGACAGAATTGAATTGATGTTAGTCTTCTTGCCTGAACTTCCTTAGAATAAAGGCCATAGGACAGCAAAGTGGCTTGGTGGATAAAAATGGTACACACACACACACACACACACACACACACACAGAGAGAGAGACACACACACAAACAGACATACAGACACAGACACACACAGACAGACACACACAGAGAAACAGACACACACACTTACACACACACTCACACACACAGACACACACACACACACAGACACACACACAGAGACACACACAGACACAGACACACACAGAGACAAGACACACACACATACACACACACTCACACACACAGACACACACAGACAGACACACACAGAGACACAGACACACACACACATACACACTCACACACACAGACACACAGAGAGAGAGAGACACACACACACAGACACACACAGACACACACAGACACACACACAGACACACACACACACACACACACACACACACACAGACAGACACACACCAGGACACCTTGCTTCTGAGCCACACCACGCCCATTACACACACTGGTTTTTCGAGACAGGGTTTCTCTGTGTAGCAGACAGACAGACACAGACACACACAGACAGGCACACACACAGACACACATATAGACACAGACACACACAGATACACACAGACACACACACACATAGACACACACAGAGACATACACACACAGAGATACACACAGACACAGACACAGACACAGACACACACACACACACAGACACACACAAATTCTAAATGCTGAAATGAGACCATTCAGCACTTGAGTTTCTGTGACTGTCTTTTTTCACTTAACGCCTTGAAGCATCATCCATATTACCACACATGAACAGATTACCTTCTTGTGAGTCTTGAGTATCATCCCATTGTTTATGCAGACCATATTTTTATCCACCTATGTTTAAACACTAAGGTTGGTTGCCTGTCTTGGCAATACTGCACAAGCCTATAATTCAACACTAGAATACAGTTGTCTCTTTAACATAGTGGTTTCTTTCCCTTTGCATAGGAACCTTGTGAGGAGAATACTGAATCATATGATAGGTCTACTTTTAATTTTTTTTCAGGAGCCTCTGTACTGTTTTCCAAAATAACTGTTGTAAGTGATAACCTCTTTGTTTAAGTGTTTTTAATGATTATCTAGACAGGCATGGAAAGGGAATTTCTCCTCCCCACCCCAACAAGTTTTCATATCATTTCCTGTCTTAGCCCGACCAATGGACAAGACTCAGGACAATAGATTCCAACTGAACCATATGTTATGAAGACATTAATAAAACTCAAAAACACAGAAATGGGGCTTTCACCTTAGAGCACACCCTGGCTTGGAATGGCTTTGTCCCAGAATGCATCCAGAAGTCTAGGTGGAGCCAAAACCAAATTGACTCCCAAGAAAGTCTCACCATTAGGCATGAGCTCCACCACCAAGGTTGGATAGGCGATGTTGGTACAGCCAACTGAGGTACCGCAGTACTTCATACATTCCGAGGGGAGGACACAGGCGATTTTATCTAGAGATAAATGAAGGATTACATAGCTTTCATTGGGTTCAGATGGTTGCAATGTTTATTTATTTATTTATTTTCATTTTTCAGACAGGTTTCTCTGTAGTTTGGGAGCTTGTCCTGGAACTCACTCTGTAGACCAGGCTGGCCTCCAACTCACAGAGATCCACCTGCCTTTTCCTCTGCCTCCCTAGTGCTGGCATTAAAGCCACCACACCTGGCTTAATGTTTACCTTTTTAAACAAGAAATTCCCACCCAACACCCAAAATCAGTGCCAGGAAGAGAACATCTCTCAGCTAAGCCTTTCTGTGCCATATTCCTGCCCTGTTATCCCTGACGAATCTTGAAGCTTCCACAGGAGAATAAATGGTTCTTAGGCAGAGGAAAGATAGGAAACAAAGAAATGGTCTGGTGGGAAGGGAGGAGATGCTGTCGTTTAAACAGCTTGGTAATGATAGTTGTCTTTTTTCCCCTCCTGAAAATCATAGTTATTTGTGACTCCTAGTTTTGAGGTTTATTTTGAACAGCTCTTAGACATATAGTCAAATCCCTAGAAAACTAGGGTGACTCCCAAGATGTGAGCAATCTGGACCAGGGATAAGGAAGAAATAGACTGGGAGGAGAAGGGAATCTAGAATCTTGGAGAAAATTCTACAAACTTATATAGAATTCAGTTCAACAAACATTTGTTAAGTACTCATTTAGCACTGTACCACACAGCACCAATTCAGTGCAGTAGTATTTTGTAAATAAATACATTCAGTAGCCATTAGGGTATGACCCATTCTGTTTGCTCAGCAAGTGTCTCTCAGTATCCACGTGCGATTGGCTCCTGGATACTTGACCCAGTGGATTCCAAAGACTGCAGGTGCCCAATCCTTTAAATAAAATAGCATAGTACCTTCTGTAACATAAGCACGTCTTCCCCGTGCATCACCTGTAGATTACTTATAACACATAATAAGCTATAAATGCTATGGAAATAGCTAGAAAACGTGATAAGCAAAAATTTACATATTTTCATCATAGGTGCAAATATTTTTTTAGGTGCAAATATTTTGATATTTTTCAACATGTAGTTGGGTGAAGATCCACAGATGTGTGAGTTGTGAATATAGAGGGCAATTATGTTTTCCTCATGGTGTGCAATCAGCACAGGAATATGAGAGGCTAGAGAGGCACAGCCAAGAACAACACAAATAAATACCCGCCAACTATTCTGACTTAATTTTGGAGGATGCTTGCAAAACTGTCACTTTATGGTACACTATTTATTGTTATTTCACATTTCAAAACAGTTTTGATTATCACAGCTAACCAAAATTATTTTTATTAATAACATCAGCATGTAAACAGCAATGCTGAGATGCTACAAAAATACCAAAGATGAATCTATCAGTCTAGATGTCAAGTCACAAGGCTTGGGGTACCTGCAAGGAAACAATCCACGAAACAGGGCAGAGAACCCAGGGCAATCTGCAGTTGGCTGAGACTTTGACATTAAAATTACAAAATGATTCTTATATGCCACTGCAAGGCTGGGGTCAGGGTGAAGAGCAGCAAACGAGCAAATACTATTTCCTGGAAGAGGGTTTCTTGATATGCACACTGCCTGTCACAGGTAACGATGGCATGAAAGAAAGGGTCTAGCAAAGTAATGACGGGCTGACTCAGATCGAGGAATTACCTGTGTATAGAATCCGGCTGACCATCCCTGTCATCACCATGAGGAACATGGGCGTCAGCTTCAGATAGCCGCACAGGGTACAGCCGGCCTTCACGTGAGACATGTTCTTAGCTGAGAGGCAGCGCTGCACAATCACCTGTCAGGAATATCCCAGTGAGGAGCTGTGCAGCCCAGTGGTTCTGTGACCCTCTAACATCCCAGCTTCCCTGTTTTGGGTCTTTAACCTTGGTTCACAGCAACCCACAGACCATGTGGGCCTTCCTCTATATACTCAACCCCAACAGCCTGACAGGTGGGAGTCTTGGTCACATAAGCTGTCCACCTGCACACCCAGATTGCATACCTGGTCTGTGCACCAGTACCACAGGGCAAGGATAGACAGGCCAAAGATGAGCCCAGGCCATGGAATGTCTCCCGTAAGAGGATCTCGGAATATATGGAATGAGTCCGCCTTGGGAGTGTAACATTCTTCCTTGATGGTCAAATTTCCATCAGAAACCATAGATGGAATGGCTTTCATGTACTTCTCCATGAATGCCTCATACCCTCCTACTTCATTGAAAGCTGAAAAATATTGGTACAAAAAAGAACACTGTGAAAAAGTTAACTCCTTATAGTGATTTTATGTATGAGTATCTTAGACACCAAGAGGATGCCGGCGTAGAAGAACACCCTTGATGTGTGGTTTGGGGCAAATTACATTCCCTCTAGGTGACAGGTTTCTAATTTATAAAAACGGGATTGTTAACTCTGCACAGCCTCTTGGGAGACACTGACATTTCAAAGCAACAACTTATAGAAGTGCCCTGACTGCAAACAGTATAAAAAGGGGGAGGTATTTTTTATTAAAGGAAGACCTCAGCTTTAGAACTCATGCAGATTGTTTTTTCTTTAAGTCCCAGCTGTCAGCCATGATATTTGGAACTCAGAACACAGAGATAAAGGCACTGGACATGGGCTGGACAGCTGGTCCCAGGGATGCCCCAGGAACGGAGAATCAGAACTTTGCCACCTCTCAGCTCAGTGTCTTCATTCTAGCCTGTGCTTGCAGACCCCCCACCCCAGCATACATGGGGTGGAAATCCTTAGAAAACTAAACACTACAGTGTAGACAGGAGTCTTTTAATGACACCCAGAGGGTCCAATAAACGTAAAAAGCAAGAAGTATTTTCTATCTCTTTGTAACAGCTAGGCTTTCCAATGCTGTCTTTTATAGACAAGAATCATTCCAAGAAATGATAGGAAATGCTGACAGTGGGTGAACAATTTTTAAATTTTGTCAAATGAAGTATTAAAATGAAAAATCGCCTATCACCAACAATGCATAAACTTTGGACTTTTAACACCACAATGTATACAGAATATACATCGTGTTTCAGATATACATTTCAATTTCAGGTTGAAAATACAGGGCGTAAATCTGTGTCACTTGATGAGTAGTTAGTCTTATTCATTTTTACCCAGGTTCTCTGCAAATATAGCACCAGATTATCACAGGCCTACACTGAGACCACTGAACCAAGCTATATAGAGAGAACAGGAGCAATTCAACTATTCCTTGGTCTGCTCCAACAAGTTTCCTATAGGGGCAAGGTGGTTCCCATAAGGATGGCCAGTCAGGGCTGGGCCACTGCCCTGAACTAGACAGAGTATTACAGGATATTTGTACACTGTGTGAGGATTTATTGCTGTGATTGGATTAACAAAGAACTGGATGGCTAATATCTAAGCAAAAGAGATAGGTGGGATTTCTAGGGGTTGAGAGAGGAGGAGGTAGAGGAATCTAGGCACACGGATTACGCCAGAGATGCCAGGAGATGCACACACACAAAAAAAATGGAGACTAGCTAAAAAAGCTATGTGGTAGAATGTAGATTAATAAATGCAGATTAATTTAAGTCATAAGAGCCAGTTGGCCTAAGCTAAGGCCAAGCTTTTAATAAGTCTCCATGTCGTTATTTGGGAGCTGGCTGGCAGGACAGAGGAAGACTAGGTACAGCAGAGCATGCAGGCAGGCAAGACACATTTGCTCTTGTCTTCTCAGAACTCTACCCCTCCTCCCCCACCTCCTCAGCGAGCCCTAGCCCCACTTACCAAATGCAGTCAGGATAATAGACCCCACCATCATGATGGCTGTCTGCAAGGCATCTGTGTAAATCACTGCTGCCAGGCCCCCTAAGCAGGCAAAAAGACAACAGTTCACATGGCATGGGCAATGCCCACCTGCTTCCTTTTCCTACCCACTACCCTCTCTTCACCCCCAGTGCACCTTCCATTTGCCTGCCTTTCCTTCCTTCTTTCCCTAATCCTGTTGCCATATCCTGCTGCCTAGAATGTTTCTATCTTCTCATGAAAATAATTACAAGGGAGGATGGAAAGGGAGGATGCTTGTCTAAAGTACTTGTGACCTTTTTAAAGCTAGGATATGGCTCAAAAGAATGCTTGCTGTGGCAGGGTCAAGATCATGATGGGAAAAACCACAGAGACAGCTGACCTGAGCTAGTGGGAGCTCAGGACTCTGGACTGTCAGCTGGGGAACCTGTATGGGACAGAACTAGGCCCTCTGCATGTGGGTGACAGTTATGTGGCTTGATCTTCTTGGGGGTGGGTCCCCTGGCACTGGGACCAGGACTTTATCACGGGTGCATGAACTGGCTCATTCTCTATGGTGGGATACCTTGCTTAGCCTTGATGCAGGGGAGAGGGGCTTGGTCCTGCCTCAACTTGGTAAGCCAGACTTTGATGACCCTCAAAGGAGGCCTTATCACCCCTGAGAAGTGGATGGGGAAAGGGCGGCAGGGTGGAGGGAGGTGGGGGCGGGAGAAGGGGAGGGAGGAGGAGGAACTCTGTGTGTGTGTGTGTGTGTGTGTGTGTGTGTGTGTGTGTGCGCGTGCGTGTGTGCGCGCGCGTGTGATACATGAGACAGACAAACGTGCCAACTTCTCATCCTCAGGTATACAGGGCTCCATGGAGCATCAAGTCCCCTGCTGGTCCTTTCCCTTCATTCCTGCAAAGAACACGTGTCTCTGCCATCCTCAAATCTTACTCTGAAACCTCTTTGTATACTTTTCTCCCACTTGAGAATGGTTCTAATCTAGTCACATTAAATCCAAGGCTCCCAAGGACCTGTACGTGTTTATGCCAGCATGCTTTGTGTCCCCTCTCTCCCTACTACTTCGCATTAACCACCTGCTTCTGGTACCTAAGGGCCGCCTTGCTTCTGAGCCACACCACGCCCATTCCCGCCTCCATTCTCCTCTTCCCTTTTTTTTAACCTGCATACCTCTAATTGTCCTAGCTTACCCACACTGCCCCACAACCTTCATGACTAAACTCTCCCTGAGCGCCCGTGAAAGATTGTTTTGCCTGTTCCAATCAGCACCGGAGCTTTCATAGCACTTCCACAGGGCTTTCGGGGAGACAAAGAAAACAGCCATTCTCAAACCCTACCTCCTTCATCCTTCGCAAGTGCCTAACCCTAAGCCAGGCTTGAGCTGCCAATTCTCTTGAATGGACTCACCTGTGATTGTATAAAGGGCGGTGATTGCTAGTAGGATAATGATGGCCAAGTATATATCCAGGCCCAAGGCTAGATTGATGAATATAGCTCCAGAGAAGATGTCTGCCTGGAAGGAGAGAATCGAGGCATAGGCAGAAGTGAGACAGGTTATCTGGTCACAGGGACCATTGCTGGGTTTCCAAGAAAGCTTTATTCATGATAGTAGCTAGTATTTCACAAGAAAAAGGACTGTGATCAATACACACACACACACACACACACACACACACACACACACACACAGAGAGAGTCTATCAGCATCCACTGTCAACTGCTGCTCTTAGCCATTGCTCCAGGCTCTTACACATCGGTGTGCACAGGTTTATAATCTTTATCCCCAAAAGCAAGTCTGAGAGTCTCAGATCTGTGAATGGGAAACCCAACTTCTTTAGCAAGATTTTAATTTTACCTGCCTGACCCAAAAGGAGCTCATCCAGAACACCAAGTACCTCTTGCATGTTACTGGTGCTTCTGTCTACATTGGCTGGTGTGATTTTCAGGGGACTTGTCCCCTCATTACTGCTGAATCCGTTATGTTCTTTACACAGTCCTTCCAGGCTTTCTTCTCTGCCTCTAATAAAACTACCTGGAAGGAAGATATGCAGTTGCTAATATACACCAGCAGAGGGCATAAAAATACTGTGCCGCCAGGAAGAACACTATTACCATAAATCTTTGTGACTCTTTTGATTTACAAGTACCAAACTTAGACTTCTCCTCCATGGAGTGCATAAGGGTTTTTTGTTTTTGTTTTGGGGTTGTTTTTTTTTTGTTTTTTTGTTTTTTTGGTTTTTTTTTTTTGGTTTTTCGAGACAGGGTTTCTCTGTGTAGCTTTGGAGCCTATCCTGACACTCGCTCTGGAGACCAGGCTGGCCTCGAACTCGCAGAGATCCGCCTGCCTCTGCTCCCGAGTGTTGGGATTAAAGTCGTGCGCCACCAATGCCCGGCTTTTTTTTTTTTTTTTCTGCACAAAATTGAATACATTTAGGAATCTGCAAAAGGAATCCAGTCACAGTCCTTGGGAAGGGGTCAATAGGGTTGGACTCAGCTCTCTTTTGTGATGAACTAAAACAAAACAACAACAACAACAAAAAAATTAACACAAACTCTCCCTCTCACAAACTCTATCCTTGGGACCCCCCAAAAACAGGATTCCTGCTAAGAATACCATAGCTAAGTGAATGCAGTGGAGTAAACCCACCTTAGCCTGAGGGCTCTGGGTATTAGTTTTTCAGTTCTTTCTACCTGTCTCAATTTTCTGTTTCCCTGGGGATGTTTTTCCCTTTTCCTTTCCTGGGAATTTTACAGTTACCAAGGGCTGACCCAGACATGTGTTATTTTGATACTCAAAAAGTATTGACATTTTTTTCATTCTGCCTATGCTTCTGAGATTGCAGTGAGACAGTGAGAGCCTCAAGTCAGCTGTTGAACCCCACAAAGTTCTCTGAGTGGAAGGAGATCTTGAGTTAATGTGCAAAGTACAATGCAATCCCCATCAAAATTCTAACATAATTCTTCACATATCTTGAAAGGACGATTCTCAGCTTCATATGGAAACACAAAACCCAGGATTGCTAAACCACTCTAGAATAATAAAGGAACTGCTGGAGATATCACCATCTCTGATCTCAAATTGTACTACAGAGCTACAATAGTAAAAATAGCATGGAATTGACACAAAAAACAGACATGTTGATCAATGTAATCAAACTGAAGACCCAGACATAAGTCCACACACCTATGGACACACAAATTTTTTATAAAGAAACCAGAAATACACAATGGAAAAAAGACAGCATCATTAACAAATGGTGCTGGCCAAAAATAGACAGCTGCATGTAGAAGAATGCAAATATATCCATACTTGTCATCCTCCTGCATAAAACAACTCCAAATGGATCAGTGGCCTCAGCATAAAACCAGATACACTGAACATTATAGGAGTAAGTGTGGAATAGCATTGACCTCATTGGCACAGGAGATGACTTTCTGAACAGAACGCTGATAGCACAGGCACTAAGAGTGATTAATAAAAGTGGCCTCATAAAACTGAAAAGCTCCTATATAGCAAAGGACACTATCATTCAGACAAAGCAACAGGCTACAGAATGGGAAAAGATTTTTCCAAGTACACACCCTATACAGGGTTAATATCCAAAGTATATAAAGAACCAAAACTGGAAATCAAGAAAACAAACAAAAAACATTAAAACTGAGGTACATATTTAAACAGAACTCTCTACGAGGAAACTCAAATGTCTGAAAAGAACCATTTGACTGTAATATATATATATATATGAAAGCAATATAAATGAAATTACCAAGTAATGAGGAATATAAAGCCCCAACTGGACATCTCTTGTCACCAAATGAAGTGTTCAGTACCAAAAATGGGTTATGTCTAATTGAATTCTTGGACAAAAGGGTCCCATGGGAATCCCCAAACAACTCAGGCTGTTGCCAAGGCTATAGGTTGCTCTCCACAAACTGACAGCAAGGTCCTACACCTATACAATGCACTAACCTGGAGAAAGAGAGGTGGTACCTACATAGAGCCTTCACCCCTATAGGCTAGTGTTCTTGGTACTAGAAGGTACCTCACATGCTACCAGGGGAGAAACATACACACCAAGCCATCTACAAGCATGTCCTTCCTGAAAGATATGCTAGTGCAATGGTGGCACAAACCTTGTAGTAGTAACCAACCAGTATCTGATTTGACTTAAGGCCCACTTCACAAAACAGAACCCATACCCGACGTTTCAGGTGACCAAGAACTAGATAACCCAGATACCTAGGGTAAATCATAGGGTTCTACTAAAGGAACATAGCTATAAAATGAGTCTTAATGCCATTCTGCTATAGTCATAGATCACTGACTTGCTCAGCCATCTTCATCTGCAGTAGATGAGAACAAACACAGAGATCCACAATTGGACAACGGGCAGTGAGTGAAAGACATGAAACTCTTGATTATGAATGGGATATTGCCATCAAATCCCTCCCCTCAAGGCTCAGAGAACCCCTCAGAATAGCAGGAAGGAAGAGTATAAGAGCCAAAGGAGACGGAGAACACCAAGGAAACAAGGCCTCCTAAACAAAACAGGACCTATGCACATACAAACTCACAGAGACTGAGGCAGCACGCACAGGGCCTGCATGGGTCTGCACCAGATGGGGTCCTAGAGCCGAAAGGAGAAGTGTTCACGTGACCATCCCTAACCCAAAGGCTATTCCCAATTGATAACCACTTACAAATGAAAATTTAGTTGTCTCCAAAGGAGTCTCCCAGGGAAAGCAGACCTCTCTTAAGGGAGGGCTCTCAGGGTAGGCTGCATGCCCAGTTGTAGACAGCCAGCAGAAAATGAACTCAGTAGCATCTTTGGAGATTCCCTGTCTCATACTGTTGTGTCAGGGCTTTTTCTTTTCTACATCTCTTTTTGAAATTTTATCCTTTTTATTTTTATTTATTCATTCACATTTTACCCTACAGGTACTTTGCATGTATAGTATGGCTTCCAGTTTTGTGCTCTTATGGGGTTCCTGAGTGTTCCAGCAAATGGTTTCTGTGCCTATATCTGTTTCTTGTGCCTTTTCTCGGACTCTTTTCATCCTGCTTGTTTTGTCCTGTTCTGATGTGTTTGCTTTTGTTTTATTATATTATTATCCTTTAGATGCCTGCTTGTTTTATAATGAGAGGCAGAAAGGGTGTGGAGCCCGAAGGGAGAGGATGTGCAGAACTGAACTGGGAGGAACAGAGGGAGGGAAAACTGTCATCAGTATATATTACATGGGGGAAAACTGTCTTCAATAAAAGAAAAAAAACAGGTGGATAAAGATAATGTGGTATATTTACATAACAGAATAATATGCAGCAGTTAAAATAAAAAGGAAATCATTAAATTTACAGGTAAATAGATGGAGCAAAAAAAAAATCATTCTGAGTGAGGTAACCCTGGCCCAAAAAGACAATATGGTATGTATCCCCTTATACGTGGATGTTAGCTTTTAAACCTTCAATAAGCACGGTACTATCTATATATCCACAAATGTTAGATACAGCTTAAGGAACTGGCTTTAAGGGAGGATCTCCCAGGGAGGAGGAACTAGAATATATAGTTAGAGAGAGATGCAGGCACTGGAACAGGAGAAGTGGGTGGGGGAGGGGAATGCAGGAAGGGACAGCTATCACTAAGGGCCATTTGCAGGATCATATGGAAACCTACCACATAGAAGCTTCTTAAAGTATATACATATATGAAAAAATAAAAATGGAGTCCTGAACAGCCTCTAAAGCTACAGAGAAACCCTGTCTCAAAAAAAAAAAAAAAAAAAAAAAACCCCTAAAAAAAAAAAAAAAAAAAAAAAAAAATAGAGTCCTCAAACAACAGGGGAGACAAAGCCCAAACTGGCCATCATTCACTACCAAGTGAAACCTCCAGTGCTAGGAATGGCTTACATCTTATTGAGTTGTTGGCCAAAGGGAGAGGGGTCCATGGAAATTTCCCAAAATCTCAGGCTATTGCCAAGGCTATTGGTTTCTCTCCTACAACTGACGGTAAGGTCCTGTCGCTGAAGACAACACGTCTATCTCATTGAACAAGAAGTGGAGCTGGTTTCCAGCTAGAGCTTTCACCCCTGTTGACTAGAGTTTATGGTACTTGAAGGCACTCTGTACTCTACTAGAGGAGAAAGGTAAACACCAGCCCAGCTATAAACTCTTCAATCTACAGTGGTGACCTGTTTGCATGATATGTTTGTACAACAGTGATACAAAAGTTGTGGGAATAACCAACCACTCTGATTGGATATAAGTCCCATTCCATGAGATGAAATCCATGCCTGAAACTGATTGAATTGCCAAAAACCTGAGACTAAATGGACTATGGACCTAGATAAAAAAACCAAATACTGCTGCTCTGCTAAAGGATGTAGCAATAAAATGACTTCTAACAAAATTCTGCTGTACCCATAGATCAATGTCTCACTCAGCCATTATCAGAGCAGCTTTCTTCTGCAGTAATAGGAACTAATACCGAGGACCATAACTGGACAATGTATGGAGAG